GTTTCTCACCTGAAACTTTAACTAAAAGTGTTTCTCACCTGAAACTTTATCTAAAGGTGTTTCTCACCTGTTCCCTTCATGATGAAACTTTAACTAAAAGTGTTTCTCACCTGAAACTTTATCTAAAGGTGTTTCTCACCTGTTCCCTTCATGATGAAACATTTAACTAAAGGTGTTTCTCACCTGAAACTTTATCTAAAGGTGTTTCTCACCTGAAACTTTATCTAAAGGTGATTCTCACCTGTTCCCTTCATGATGAAACTTTAACTAAAGGTGTTTCTCACCTGAAACTTTATCTAAAGGTGTTTCTCACCTGAAACTTTATCTAAAGGTGTTTCTCACCTGTTCCCTTCATGATGAAACTTTAACTAAAAGTGTTTCTCACCTGAAACTTTAACTAAAGGTGTTTCTCACCTGAAACTTTATCTAAAGGTGTTTCTCACCTGAAACTTCATCTAAAGGTGTTTCTCACCTGAAACTTCATCTAAAGGTGTTTCTCACCTGTTCCCTTCATGATGAAACTTTTAACTAAAGGTGTTTCTCACCTGAAACTTTATCTAAAGGTGTTTCTAACCTGTTCCCTTCATGATGAAACTTTAACTAAAAGTGTTTCTCACCTGAAACTTTATCTAAAGGTGTTTCTCACCTGAAACTTTATCTAAAGGTGTTTCTCACCTGAAACTTTATCTAAAGGTGATTCTCACCTGTTCCCTTCATGATGACACTTTAACTAAAGGTGTTTCTCACCTGAAACTTTATCTAAAGGTGTTTCTCACCTGTTCCCTTAATGATGAAACTTTAACTAAAAGTGTTTCTCACCTGAAACTTTATCTAAAGGTGTTTCTCACCTGAAACTTTATCTAAAGGTGTTTCTCACCTGAAACTTTATCTAAAGGTGTTTCTAACCTGTTCCCTTCATGATGAAACTTTAACTAAAAGTGTTTCTCACCTGAAACTTTATCTAAAGGTGTTTCTCACCTGAAACTTTATCTAAAGGTGATTCTCACCTGTTCCCTTCATGATGAAACTTTAACTAAAGGTGTTTCTCACCTGAAACTTTATCTAAAGGTGTTTCTCACCTGAAACTTTATCTAAAGGTGTTTCTCACCTGTTCCCTTCATGATGAAACTTTAACTAAAAGTGTTTCTCACCTGAAACTTCATCTAAAGGTGTTTCTCACCTGAAACTTCATCTAAAGGTGTTTCTCACCTGTTCCCTTCATGATGAAACTTTTAACTAAAAGTGTTTCTCACCTGAAACTTTATCTAAAGGTGTTTCTCACCTGAAACTTTATCTAAAGGTGATTCTCACCTGTTCCCTTCATGATGAAACTTTAACTAAAGGTGTTTCTCACCTGAAACTTTATCTAAAGGTGTTTCTCACCTGAAACTTTATCTAAAGGTGTTTCTCACCTGTTCCCTTCATGATGAAACTTTAACTAAAGGTGTTTCTCACCTGAAACTTTATCTAAAGGTGTTTCTCACCTGTTCCCTTCATGATGAAACTTTATCTAAAGGTGTTTCTCACCTGTTCCCTTCATGATGAAACTTTAACTAAAGGTGTTTCTCACCTGAAACTTTATCTAAAGGTGTTTCTCACCTGTTCCCTTCATGATGAAACTTTAACTAAAGGTGTTTCTCACCTGAAACTTCATCTAAAGGTGTTTCTCACCTGAAACTTTATCTAAAGGTGTTTCTCACCTGTTCCCTTCATGATGAAACTTTTAACTAAAGGTGTTTCTCACCTGAAACTTTATCTAAAGGTGATTCTCACCTATTCCCTTCATGATGAAACATTTAACTAAAGGTGTTTCTCACCTGAAACTTTATCTAAAGGTGTTTCTAACCTGTTCCCTTCATGATGAAACTTTAACTAAAGGTGTTTCTCACCTGAAACTTTATCTAAAGGTGTTTCTCACCTGAAACTTTATCTAAAGGTGTTTCTCACCTGTTCCCTTCATGATGAAACTTTAACTAAAGGTGTTTCTCACCTGAAACTTTATCTAAAGGTGTTTCTCACCTGTTCCCTTCATGATGAAACTTTATCTAAAGGTGTTTCTCACTTGAAACTTTGTCTAAAGGTGTTTCTCACCTGTTCCCTTCATGATGAAACTTTAACTAAAGGTGTTTCTCACCTGTTCCCTTCATTATATGAAACTTTAACTAAAGGTGTTTCTCACCTGAAACTTTATCTAAAGGTGTTTCTCACCTGAAACTTTAACTAAAGGTGTTTCTCACCTGAAACTTTAACTAAAGGTGTTTCTCACCTGTTCCCTTCATTATATGAAACTTTAACTAAAGGTGTTTCTCACCTGCTCCCTTCATGATGAAACTTTATCTAAAGGTGTTTCTCACCTGAAACTTTAACTAAAGGTGTTTCTCACCTGTTCCCTTAATGATGAAACTTTATCTAAAGGTGTTTCTCACCTGAAACTTTAACTAAAGGTGTTTCTCACCTGTTCCCTTCATTATATGAAACTTTAACTAAAGGTGTTTCTCACCTGCTCCCTTCATGATGAAACTTTAACTAAAGGTGTTTCTCACCTGCTCCCTTCATGATGAAACTTTAACGAAAGGTGTTTCTCACCTGTTCCCTTCATGATGAAACTTTAACTAAAAGTGTTTCTCACCTGCGCCCCACTCAGACAGGTATGTCCCATCTGCAGAGAACTTGAGGATGCGTGCGTTGCAGTATCCGTCAGACACAAAGATGTTTCCTGAGTGGGGGTCCACGGCCACGTCTGTGGGCTGACAGAAGTGTCTGCTGTCGCTTCCTGGAGTAAACTCCTCCCCTAACGCCAGCAGGGTCCGATCTCTGCCATCACTGCTCACCTTCAACACCTGAGGAGGACACATGAGTCTTTACGGCCAGGTGTGTTTACCTTGTTTACAGGTGTGTTTACTGTGTTTACTTTGTTTACAGGTGTGTTTACTTTGTTTACACTTTACAGCTGTGTTTACTTTGTTTACAGATGTGTTTACTTTGTTTACACTTTACAGCTGTGTTTACTTTGTTTACACTTTACAGCTGTGTTTACTTTGTTTACAGGTGTGTTTACTTTGTTTACACTTTACAGGTGTGTTTACTTTGTTTACACTTTACAGATGTGTTTACTTTGTTTACATTTTACAGGTGTGTTTACTTTGTTTACATTTTACAGGTGTGTTTACTTTGTTTACACTTTACAGGTGTGTTTACTTTGTTTACACTTTACAGATGTGTTTACTTTGTTTACATTTTACAGGTGTGTTTACTTTGTTTACACTTTACAGGTGTGTTTACTTTGTTTACACTTTACAGGTGCGTTTACTTTGTTTACACTTTACAGGTGTGTTTACTTTGTTTACAGGTGTGTTTACTTTGTTTACAGGTGTGTTTACAGGTGTGTTTACTTTGTTTACACTGCACAGGTGTGTTTACTTTGTTTACAGGTGTGTTTACAAGTGTGTTTACTTTGTTTACACTTCACAGGTGTGTTTACTTTGTTTACAGGTGTGTTTACAAGTGTGTTTACTTTGTTTACACTGCACAGGTGTGTTTACTTTGTTTACAGGTGTGTTTACAAGTGTGTTTACTTTGTTTACACTTCACAGGTGTGTTTACTTTGTTTACAGGTGTGTGATTGGTTCATCATCAGCGTACCTGGTGCAGAGCCACATCAGTCACCCAGTAGTTGTTGTCATTGTCTGTAGTTATTCCATGAGGCAGATAAAACCTGCACACACACACACACACACACACACACACACACACAAACAGTGTCTCACTCTGTTATAAATACAGGAATGTGTGTGTGAGTGTAACTGGGACTCACATGTTCCTCCCTGAAGCCTTCAGGATGCCCCCTTCAGATGGATCTACCACCAGGATGGTGGACTGCTGGATGGGACCCAGAGACCTCTGCTGGTACTGAGCCTGGCTGCTGAAGGAGCTGAGAACAGGAAGAGGACATTGATGTTTGTAGTTCCACAGAGAGAATACCATGATGATGATGAGGAGGATGATGATGATGAAGATGAAGATGAAGATGAAGATGAAGATGAAGATGAAGATGAAGATGAAGGGGACTCACTTGGCGCCCCAGGTGTGATCTCCTCTGTGGAAGATGACCAGGTTAGAGTCCGAGTCCAGAGCCAGTCCTGATACCTGACCCAGCTGGAGGGAGCTCTGAGGCCACGACGACACCTGTTCCAGGTGAGAGTCTACACACACACACACACAGACACACACAGACACACACACGCACACACACACACACAGACACACACAGACACACACACGCACACACACACACACACACACACACACACACACACAGACACACACACACACACACAGACACAGACACACACACACAGACACACACACGCACACACACACACACAGACACACACAGACACACACACGCACACACACACACACACACACACACACACACACACACACACACACAGACACAGACACACACACACAGACAGACAGACAGACAGACAGACAGACAGACACACACACACACACAGACAGACAGACAGACAGACAGACAGACAGACAGACAGACAGACAGACAGACAGACAGACACAGACACACACACACACACACACACACACACAGACAGACAGACAGACAGACAGACACACACACACACACACACACACACACACACACACACAGGTTAGTGAATCTTGTCCATATAGTACCCTTAGTAGAGCTTCCAGCCTTCATACTCCAACATGAGTCTGTCTCCTCTCTGCGTTACATTAACGCCCACTGGACTTCTTCACATGCACTCTGTGAGTACTTACACACACTAACATGTTTCCTCATACTCCACTGCACAGCTCCTACATTTCACCTTTTGTACATTTTGTGTTTTTTATATTTCACATTTTTAAATTCTATTTTATATATTGTAATATCTTGTTATTCTGTATTATTTAAGTTGTTGTTAGTTCTGCTTTATTTCCTTGTTAATTGTTTAGCACCAATACACCAAGTCAAATTCACTGTATGTGTAAATGTACTTGGCAATAAATCCAGATTCTGATTCTGATTCTGAATGTTTGTTAATGTTTAAAATCTTCATTCACGCAGATATGTTGTGTTTGTTATGTTTGTTGTGTTTGTTATGTTTGTTATGTTTGTTGTCCTTGTCATGTCCAGCTCTGTGTCTTAGGTTATGTTTTAAATTCTACTTGTGTTATTTCCTGTTTTGGGTCACTAACCTCTCCTCTCATTTCAGATTCACTTCCTGATTGTTCCCAGCTGCATCTCGTTGTTTTCCCCCTCACCTTAGTATTTAGTCTGTGTCTGTGTTCGTCTTCGACCTCTGTGTGAAGCGTACAAGCCTTCTGTTTCTCTAACATCACTTTTTGGAATCGACTTCTGCTGTGTTTTTGACGTCGACTTTGCCTGTTCCCTTTTTGGATTCTGTCTGCTTGTAAAAAGTAAAGACTGTGTTTTGAGTCGTGTTTTACCTGTGGTTCTGTTCCAGTCCTACGTTTAGTGTTTTACCTGTGGTTCGTTTAGTGTTTTACCTGTGGTTCTGTTCCAGTCCTACGTTTAGTGTTTTACCTGTGGTTCTGTTCCAGTTCTACGTTTAGTGTTTTACCTGTGGTTCTGTTCCAGTTCTACGTTTAGTGTTTTACCTGTGGTTCTGTTCCAGTCCTACGTTTAGTGTTTTACCTGTGGTTCTGTTCCAGTCCTACCTTTAGTGTTTTACCTGTGGTTCTGTTCCAGTTCTACGTTTAGTGTTTTACCTGTGGTTCTGTTCCAGTTCTACGTTTAGTGTTTTACCTGTGGTTCTGTTCCTACGTTCTGATCGTCTCTCTGCAGCTGCAGTAAACACATCTGTCTCTGTCTGTGAGCTGAGGATCTCCTATATTTGTGAGGACCCTCTCTCCAACATAATATCATGCATAAATGCATAAATGGATTTCCTGATTTCAGAGTGCTGACCCTCTCTGAAGGTTAAAGCGCTCTGATTGGTCAGTGAGCGTCCTCTTTCTCAGTATTGATGTTTGTCAGTAATGACTCGTCTCATCCGTCAGATTTACATCCAGATAAAAGGATTTAAGAACAAAGGATGACGTCCAGCTGAGACCGACAGGACGGGTTAGGAAAAACAAATGTTCCTGTTTCAATCCTCAGGTGAAGGCTCACACACACACACACACACACACACACACACACACACACACAGTCCTGAATACTGTAAAGTATCTGAGATCAATCTGACCCTATATAGAGTCTTCTATATGTTTGTTTTTCTAATCAAATCTTTCGGACTCAGAGTAGAGGAGAGGAGATATAGGAGACAGAGGTGAGGAGAGAGGAGACAGAGGAGAGGAGACATAGGAGAGAGAGCTGAGGGGACAAAGGTAAGAAGAGAGGAGACAGAGCTGAGGGGACAAAGGTAAGGAGAGAGGAGACAGAACTGAGGGGACAAAGGTAAGGAGAGAGGAGACAGAGGCAAGAAGAGAGGAGACAGAGCTGAGGGGACAGAGCTGAGGAGAGAGGAGACAGAGCAGAGGGGACAAAGGTAAGGCGAGAGGAGACAGAGCTGAGGGGACAAAGGTAAGGAGAGAGGAGACAGAGCTGAGGAGACAAAGCTGAGGAGAGAGGAGACAGAGCCGAGGGGACAAAGGTAAGGAGAGAGGAGACAGAGGTGAGGAGAGAGGAGACAGAGGTGAGGAGACAGAGGCAAACAAGGTCTCAGGGGACACGGGCTCTAACGTTGTCGGACTTCATTGGGATATAAAATAAAAAACTACGGGGGGGGTCCACAGACAGAGACCCACCTTCTCCTTCAGCGGGTCGATGGCTTCTGGGGGTTTTGGCCTCGAGCTGATGGAACCTGTGGACTCTGTCCCTCACCAGAACCGGGTCCTCCCTGGTGTGGAAGGCCAGTCTGGTTCTGGGAGAGTCCAGGTCTTTGTCCTGCATTAAACTACCGATCTGAGCCAGCAGCTGAGCTCTGTGAGAGTGAACGCTCTGTCCTAACAGCCTGGACATCAGAGACAAGATGTCACCTACACACACACACACACACACACACACACACACACACACACACACACACACACACACACACACACACACACACACACACACACACAGAGAAGGACAGCAAAGGTGGAAATAAAGCACACAGACTTCTGGACACAGAGTCAGAAGAAAAGCTGGCTACACACTAGAGGATGTTAGGCCCCGCCCACAATGGTCAGGGGGCGTGGCTTGATTCAAGGCTTGTCGCAGATTAATTGTCCGAATAATCGTCAACGTTCGACGTCACTACGATTATTTTACTGCTTCTGATTGGTTCGGAGCCTCCCTGATGCCTCCGTGATGTTTATGATTCCAGGTCGAGCTGCCTCCAACAGCCAATGAGAGCGAGCAGAGCGGGAATGCTGCATCTCTTTAACAGCTCACAAACATGGTGACGGAATATTGAAGAAGAAGAGCAGCTGGTGTAACCATGGCAACAACACGAGTGTCGTTGTAACGTCTCATGAAGACGAACCGCACAGCCAGCTGACCACGACCATTGTCCTCCATGTTGGTTTTATCACCTGAGATTGTGTGAGATCAGAGGATTGTCCTCGTGTCCTGCAGTGTGCAGCCAGCCTCGTTACAGACAGAAACATTTCATCACATCCTGAAGAGTTAAAACTGCAGAGGTAAAGATGTTAGTGAGCAGGAAACACACACACACACACACACACACACACACACACACACACACACACACACACACACACACACACACACACACACACACACACACACGCGCACACACACACACACACACAGCTGTGTTTGTAGGAACTCAGAGCTGCAGGTCATTGAACTCACCCTGATCCTGATCCTGATCCTGATCCTGATCCTGATCCTGGTCTTTGTTTTTCTTCAACATGGCCCTGTCGTCCTGACGCTCTGAGGGGACAGAATAAAGATCATTTCTGTCAGCTACAAGGTGAACAGGTTCACAGTCTAATCAGAGCCACTGACCCCACCTGACCCAAGACCTAAACAAGGACTAACTAAAACCCCTTTAACACCAGAGCACCAGTCCTGTTTGGATTTTAAGACCTTCATTGACACCGTGACAACCATCGTCTAACGGTAACTTCTTCTACCTTGATTTATTATTTCTTCTTCTCCCATCTCTCATGTTGGAGGTTTCACACGCTGCTGTAAACGCTCCGAATAAACAGTCTTCAGCTGTCTGAGACACAGGAGACCTGTCACAACTTCAAATAAAACTCTGGCCCCTAGTGTTTAAAATGGGTACTGCAGTCTAAATTCTAAACATCATAGAGAGCTGTCTCCCCCCCCCTCACTCAGGTCACCATGTGGTGGACTCTGAAGCTTCAGTGTTTATCCAGCTCTGCATGGGTCTGTAAACCTTTCTGTGTTCTAACCTCTCTCCATTTTTCAAAAGCATCTCCAATATTGATCCTAGTTTGAGCACGTTTCTGCTCGTGGAGCTTATTAGAAACATGCAGAGGCTTTTTAGGTCGGGTACAATTACTTCTATCTGAACCACTTCTCTTGACCGCTTCCATCGCTGCAACACCTGTTGACCTGATAACTGCTCTCATATCTGACAAACTGAGGGGCGTCCAAAACGGCCATGTGGGGGGGGTGTTTTGCGTACCTGTAGAGTGTCCCATGTGCATCATGTTGCTGTGATCTGGACTGATGGGGATGGGGACGCTGGCCTCAGCTGGGATCTGGTCAAACAGCTGTTCAGAGCCGGGCTCGTTACAGTTCATGTAGGGGACGGCGTGTTTGCTGTCCATGTAGTACATGATGTAGAAGTTACACATCTCGTCGTCTGACGTCCCTCTGCACACACAACAACAGACAGATCACAACACACTGCCTGTAGGGGGCGCCAGCTCCAAGGGACATGTTGGCCTCATCAGCAACAGTTCAATCTAAGACCCTCAGAGACCTCTGACTCAGTTTACAGTTGACACATCAGGACTAAATGATCGATAGTCTCCATTTTCAAATCTCATCTCAGAACACATTTTTTTAAACATTCAGTCTGATCATTCTCCACCCGCTCTCATAACTCCTCTACATCCTCTACATTTGTATTGTTAATGTTAATTTTATGGTTTATGGTGTTGTTTTTATCTCTGCTCTGTAAGGTGACCTTGAGAGTTTTGAAAGGCGCCTTTAAATCAAATGTATTGTTATTATTATTAGTTATTTATTGATTGAAAACAGAAGATGCCTTTGCTTGTATATTTTTCTGCAGCTGATGTCGTGCTGCACTCTGAAGGCCTGACTCACACAGGCAGCTCTAACAGCCACTCTGAGCACTGACTAAACTTATTCTACAACACGAGCAGTACATCTCACCCGATGTATGTTTTGGAGGTTCGTCCCTCTCCGGTGAACACACATCTGGCTGCGACTGAGTCTCCATACTTCACACTCACGTCTCTGTTGGCCGGGTAGAAAGCCTGAAACACAACATCTCCTCTGTCAGAGGTCACACCAGGGTTCAAAGCTTTCATTCTAGTCTACTGTGACGGAGCGGCACATACCAACACACACCAACACACATGCTGACACACACACATCTGCCAAACTTTTCCCTCTGCCAGTGCGCCTGTCATCATTCAGTAAATCACATCATCACCCTCCTTTCCCTCTCCGTTTCACAGCGTGATCAAAGGTGCACATTTGAAAGCTCTCTCTTTGGTATCACACATATATATACAGATTCAGAGTGGTATGACCGTTGGTGCGTTGCATACGCGCTCCGCGGTGTCCCATTTGTTCCAAACAGAGGCGGCCCATTTCCGCATACTAAATAGGATGAGAATGGGTAATTTAGGGGTGAGCAGACCATGTTAATTTAACAGAGTATAAATTGCTCATTCATGAGATAATGTGTTTTCTTTATAATGCCCAGTGGGAGGGGCTTCTTGTGTTTAAAAGAGAGCTGCTGGCTGCTTTCAAGCAGTCTAGGGAGGTTACAGT